GGGTCCACGTTAAGAGGCTGCTCCAGCTCGGAGTGCGCAGCCGCGGCGTGTGCGCCTACCTGAGCGCACCTTCTCACGGCCCCGAACCCGCTTCCGTGAGGTGCTGCCGAGCAGCGCCGCGTGAGATCACCCTGCGTCACCCACCTCCAGCCTCGGCGACATTGGAGTGTCCCAAGCCCAGTCGCGCCCAGAAATGCGGGCGGAAGGGGTGCAGGTAACGATGCTCCGAGTTCATACCATCCTCAGTCTGTTCTTCACTTTTGCTATAGTCACGGTCCTATAATAAAGCTGGGAACATACAGATAAATCCGGACGTACAAAAATATACATTTAAACAGGAAAAAGCATGGCTATTACCCACCTACTCCAGTGGCAGCAAATTCCGAAGCTGATATTTAATGCATTTAACCACGTTGCAAAGGTTCACCTGAATCCTGTATATATAGATTCCTAAATGATCTATAGAATAAATATTTATATAGTTATATTTCCCATGAAATCCAGGAAAATTTTAGTTTCGTTTCAGAAAGAGCGCAATAGCACCTAAAAACTCCAGCCAATAACAAGCCCACTGGATTAAGCAGAGGAAAAACAGGAAGATAAAGAGAACCCGTCTCTTCCTGAGGAATATTCAGTCTAAAGAAAAATGGCAGATATAAAGCATTAGAAGTGAAATATTATTAGATGGAAAATTGAAGGATGTATGGGTTATCTGATTTGCCAAAGAATGGACAGGATTTGTCTATGTAATATTTTGTAGACAGAAATGGTGATGTGACTTGAAATGTGGAACGGCCTCATGATCTCACAGCTTGGAAAATAATAGGATAAACCCTTATTTACTTACCAAAATTACTGGGACAAAAAAGAATAGGGAATAAGGAGAACAGAATTGAGAGGTCTGTTCATGTGCTCCAACCACTAAGATTTCCTCATTTGTCCGAGAATTCTGCAATGTTTGATCATTTATGGCTGCAAGCAGTGTCTCACTTTGCTCGTTAGTTATGATTTGATTCACCCTGCATTATTCTATTGCCTTGTACATCTTAACTGCGGGAGGCAGAATTTGTTTTTCTGCAGTAATTATCACGACAGTGTTCTGAAGACAGCTCTCATGGATAAATTTAAGAATATGTGTTTGAGTTCCAGCAAGAGCAATATGCACTAACACTTAAGTGAACAATGTGTTTAAGGCTACCTAAATCATATCTGTTACAGAGATAGATTTCAAATATTTTTACCTTTTTTTTTTCTTCTGACCGAGAGACTACCTTTTAGCTTGCATATTCAGCTTTCCCTTAAAACTACCCATAGGATCACTGAAATAAATAGGGTTACTCACATGCTTCAAGTCTGACGTGCCTAAGTACTTTGTAAAATGGGTTGAAAATCACTTTCAGACATAACTATTTTTTAATACTAGCATTTTTTAAGATCAAATTACAGTATATTAAAGAGCAAAAATTTTATTTTGTTTCAGTTTTTGAGTTGTTCACCTTAACTACAGAGTCTTGAGGTACTGTAAACTGACAGTCAGACTCAGTGGTTGCATTTGCCCCTATATAGCAAAGGCAGTTAACATCTTGGGGAAATGTTTTCTCCAGGTGCAGGAGGTTTATTAAAATTCTCACAACAGCTAATTCCCTCACAACTCCATTGACAATTGCCAGCAGCTTCTAGGAATAGTTAAGCAGCCTCATTACAAATCATCAGGTGAACTGAATGAGGTTCAATGTTTAAAGAAAATCAGAATAATAATTCTATAAAACTGAAGCACAAAGCCCAGTGGAGAGCGTTCCTGTAAGAATTAAGTTATTACATTTTTAAGTAATCATATGCAATAAAGCAGCTGAAATATTGTTTCATAATATATATTATTGCTGATGCAAATCTGATTCATTCTAATGGCTACTATAATTAACTGCACAGTTTGTGAGCTGTTAATTTTGAGGATGAATAATTGGTTAAACCAAGTTTTGTGTATTGCGATGTAATAAGTCTGTTCAGTTTTCCACTTAGTTTCAATTAATATGGGTTTTACATGTACTTTACTGTTGCAGTTTTTATGCCTATTATTTTTAATTAGGAAAAAGAAATACCTTGGTAGAACAGAACAAATGAGCAACACTGTGTTTTGCTTCCAAGTTTTTTTTCCATTACAGATATTTCAAGCTCATATCACGTAACTATCCAAAATGTTAATCACTGCTGGGAGTGCCAGCTCCCGCATGAAACAGAAGGGAAAAAGGGTCCTCAGTCCCCTCATTCACTTACCACTACACAATGATTTTCAGTTCAAGCGATGTGTCTTTGCTACCTTTCCTGAAGTTTTCAGTACTCCGAAATGTTTTAGTGAATAGAACTGCATGGTGCTGTTCTTGTTCACCACCAGAAAGGTGAGCTTGTAGATGCACCTATTTTACAATGGGATCAATCACTAGCTGGAGATTCTTACTCATTTCCACAAAGGTGCCTAGACATCAGGCTGGATGCTTGTCTTCTCGATGGATACTGTCTATGGTGGGTTGACCTGGGATAGATGCCAAGTGCCCACCAAAGCCGCTCTATCACTCCCCTCCTCAGATGGATGGGGGAGAAAAAAGTATAACAAGAAGCTTGTGGGTCAAGATAAGTACAGGGAGACATCCTTCAGCAATTACTGTTACAGGCAATACAGACTCAATTTAGGGAAATTAGCTCAATTTGTTGCCAATCAAATCAGAGTAGGGTAATGAGAAATAAAAAACAAATCTGAAAACACTTCCCGCCCCATCCTGTTAGTTTAAATCTAAGGAAGAAATTTTTGACAATGAGGGTGGTGAACCACTGGCACAGGTTGCCCAGAGAGGTGGGAGATGCCCTGTCCCTGAAACCATCCCAGATCAGGTTGGACGGGCTCTGAGCAACCTGATCTAGATGAAGATGTCCCTGCTCATTGCAGGGGGGTTGGACTAGATGATCTTTAAAGATCCCTTCCAACCCAAATGGTTCTATGATTCTATGAATCTATGATCGGTCTTTTCATGGCATATATTACTTCTCACGCTGTGCTACCCCTGTAGCTCCAACAGGCAGGTGTAAGCCCCATCCCTGCCTTTTGCCAATGCATCTACGGGAGGCAGACTCTCATAGAGTGGACAGAGAGGGTTATTTGCATTCCCTTTGCTCCTAGCAGCCCACACATGGGACTTCCTAGGTCCTAGGAATTGCTGCTTGACTGACAAAAGGAGAGTAGAGCTCTCTGTTTGTCTTCCTTCCAGAGCCGAATCTTTCCAGGTGTCTGACAAATTCCCAGCACCACTGATGCAGTTGCTTTATCTCTGATTCTTCTCACTTACCCCGTATTAAAGATCTGATGACTGGAGTGCAGCTGGCAGCTTTTCTCATGACATATGAGGCAGAAAATCTCCAGCCCACTCTTCCTTGTATGGACCAGTGCTGCCATCAGAGCGAGCAAATCTGTGTCGTCGCTAGCAGTGGGTTATAAAAATGAAGGCCTTCAGGGCGCTGCTGAGTGAGTTTTTGTTGTGCATGTCACAAAAGCTTAAATAGAAAATAGAAATCCAGACATTATGTTTTAAAAGCCGAACAAAGTAAGGTTAACAAGTTCTGGCTAAACAGAATCATTGCCTTACCCGTATCATCGAACCCTTCACAGACATTTTAATGCAGTCATCTGCATTGCACCATTATCCTCACTTCGTAAATAGAGAGGAGCAAGAGACACAGAAGTAAGAGAGTTATTAGCACAGGAACTTTTTGTACAGTTAAGGAGATGTACCTAGGTTGGTCTGTTTTCACAGGATTGGTTCCCATGCCTCTGAAACAACAGTGTTGTCTACAAAGTCACTACAGAATAGACCCCATGTTAGCATCAACACCTCAACAAAAGATTTCTAAGGATTTGGAGAGATTTCTGCAGGCATCAAGAAGTTCGGGGATTCCCTAAATCATTATATTGTAATGTTCATGACGCATGCTTTAAAAAAACACATGGAGGAGAAGTAGTTCAAAAACAGCATATGTGAGGTGTGGAGCTGCGCAGAGAAAGGCATCAGCTGGGTAATAAAATATTTAAGGGGAACCTCTTCTTTCATTCCTTTCATGGTTTTTTTTCAAAATAGTCTGTGTGTGTTCCAGTAAGAGCATCTGCTATGAGCTAAGATACTTTAAAATACTTTTTCCACTGTTAATAACCAACCTACCAACAGATGCCTTAAGAGCTGATCATATTTCAGCCACACGCGCTAACCACCTGCTTTGCGACGTTCCCCGGCAGGCCAGATGACTCTGAGGACACAGCACGTTCAGGACTCTAAGATGGGCTTTGTAATCAACGCAATATACTCGATGGCATACGGCCTCCACAACATGCAGATGTCACTGTGCCCAGGCTACGTGGGCCTCTGTGATGCCATGAAGCCCATAGATGGTCGGAAGCTCCTGGAATCCCTCATGAAGACTAACTTTACCGGAGTCTCTGGGGACATGATCTTGTTTGATGAGAACGGTGACTCACCAGGAAGGTAATGTTGACATTTGTCGAACTGTTTAATACCAGACATGTTAACTGTATGTAATAGATGCACGCAGTCTTGACATCGGAGCTAAGATCTCATACTTTTATTTTCACATTTCCTGACTTTGCTTATTTTTCCAAAACAACTCTTTTTTTAATATGCATTTTTTATAAGGTTAAAGATATGAACTTCCAGGCACGCAACCTTCCTGCATGAGTTTGCGTTTTCATCTGTACCATTTAAAGGTATTACTTCTCACTACAAACCATCAGACCTTCAAATTTATGTTCATAGGCCATGATGGCCACCTTTGATCTCTCTCTCTTTGTGTGTTTAAATGTATGTGTTTGACTGAGCGATAAGCAATCATAGCAGCATAGTTCTTTTATTAAAAAAGATAAAACAATGTCAGAAATATTGTATTGATTTGTCTGGGATTTTTTTTCATCAGAATTATTAAAAATCTGCTTCCATATCTTCTAAACAAAGCCTTTCCACTTGCATAACAGAATAAGCTATTAATTCGTACTGTGCTGTTATAAGCCAAATGGAATTTAAATGAAGTATTTTTGCTAATATTCTTTTGCTAATAACTTACATGCATGTATATGCATACATCTATGAAATATAAGACAAGGTTTTCTTTTTCTATGACATATATGCAGCATCCATATAAATGCACATTACAAAGAGTAATAAGGTTTTTTCTAGGTTTCTACCTATTGAGCTCTCAGAAGATGAACAGCAAATGTGATCGCATTCAAAGTATATATTTTTCCCTATATTTCAGTGGGCAGATTCCTGCTTCATTCACTGCTTTTACTCCAGTTTGACTGAGGCAGCCCTTTCTGTCTACTTTATTGAGAAATTTTTTAAACATCTTTGTGATAGCACCATGTAAAGAAATGACTAGAGAGAAAATTGTTCATCCTGTACACTCATTTAAATTTTATCTTCTCCCACTATTGTGACCTGAAAGGAAAGCATTAACTTCCGAGTAGAGGTGGGTAGGAAAAGGTAAATCCATTGGTCATAATATTTTGACATTTCCAAATATTTCTGAAATTTCAGAACTGTTTTTTTTTTTTAATTTTATTTGAAAACCTCCGAAGTCAGCATTCTCTCCAAAAGAGAGCAGGACAGCCACCTACAAAGCAGTCTGTTTGTATCTATGGAGACACAAATTTTCAAACTTTTCAGACTGAGACTCTAAGGAAGTACACTGTGAGCTGGTAGGAAAATTCAGACACAAACTGGCAGAAACCCAGGAACATTTCAGACGGAAATTTATTTTCAGCACTGTTTTGGTGAGCAAGGCTGTCTTCCGCTAAACATTCCTATTTTTACAAATAGCTGAATTCTAAAGAAAAATGCCCAGTCTGGATTTTTCTGAACAAATTCCTTTTAAAAGACTTGTCCCAGACTTCTCTTAAAGGATTCCCTTTTCGTTTTAATGACGCTCAGAGGCAGTGGACGGCATCCTGCCTTATTCCTATCTGTTTCACTCATTTCTTCCAGAAAGACTGAAGACTGCCATGAATAAATGATATGTGGCATGAGAACACCAATGATAATATCTAAATGTTGGGAAGAAACCTTTAGCTTTTCCTTTTCCTCATGTTGGCATGCTTAATAATAGTGATTCAATTCAATCTATTGCAAGGAATTTAACTGAATGTCTCGGCTGTTTTTAAATTCATTCTAAGAAAGACGATGAAGGAATTATATCATATGCAGTCATCTGCTCAGTCACAGCAGGACATTAGTGTTTCACTGAAGAGCATGGGGACACTATGTTGATTGTGCTCCTCAGGATAACACAACTTTAAGAAAGCCCAGCCTCAGTGGGTTAGTGTGAGATACAGCAGTGCTCTGTCTACTCGAGCTAATGGACTGTGTGTGGTGACAAAATGGTCCCAGAGTTTTTTTACTTTTGAAACATAGTTCTTTGTTCCCTCTTCTACAATAGTCACATCATTAAATCCAGTTTATGTGCTTAACTTATCCAACATTGTGTTAAAAATTTACTTTTTCATGATTAAGGAAAACTTATAGGAAGCTCCATCTCTAACAACCAGGTTTTAAGTAGTTTATAGTCTTGAGCACTGTCAAACACTATTCGGAACAGCTGGGAGGTGGTGCAGTCATACTGGAACAACGCATCTCCCCCGTTCACTTGCATAGATAGCTGTATCTTCACTTTGTAAAAAGGACATTTAAATCCTCACAGCTGTACTGTGGTGGTGGTAAGCAGGAAATCAGAACATAAAAAGCCTTTCTGACCTAGATAGCTCAGGATTTGGATGTATTGCAAAAAGGTTTTGCTATTATACAACAGATGATTAATCCCAGAAGATGCTTTGAATCCTGGCCCTATTCCAAAGTCTTTTATGGGTATGTTGAGCTTTAAGCAGATAGTCTAGTGGAGGGCTTGTTTTAGGTGAGACAGAAGGTTCATAAAAAAACAAATGGGTGTGGAAGGAACAGCCGTGATTTCTCAGGAAGATAACAACTCTCTGTACATACTATTGAAACTCCAAAGAAGAAATTGAGAAGGCAAGAGAAGGGAAGAAAACCAAGATGCTGGTGTTTTGGCTGTGCTACCTATGGATTCTCAGCAACTTCATGGCACTTCTATTTTGAAACAAGTGTTTTGCACTGCGATTAGGGCACTGCTGGAAATGTGTTATTGCACTATTTGGTCTCTCCTCTCCTAAAGTGTCAAACAGTCCCTGTGGTATCTCAAGGAAGCTCCAGGGAACCAGTGACTCATGAACCTCCACTATAGGAATGGACTTACTGAGTCTGGCTATTACTATCAGTCCACGAATGCTGTTCTTCACAGATAAGAGAGACACAACGTATTGAGGCAATAGTTTATTTAATTTGTTAGGTTTCTTCCCAGTATTCCCCTTGGGACGTGTGCACGGAACTACTACAGAGGGATAATTGTTTTAGGTCCTGCGGTCTGTTAAGTATTGGTAGTCCTTTCATTCATCTGCCCATGGAAGTCTGAACTGACATGTTTAAAAAACAATAGTCAGAGGAGTGTTACAATGTCCTGACAATGCTGAATAAAGACTCTACAGTGGCTTCTGGGCTAAATTTTTCATTAGTCTGTTTAATCCTTGAACACACTGTTACTATGCCTGTGAACCTCAGAAAAAAGTCTTGGTTTATAACGATGGGTAAAAGCTTGTTTAATTGTGTTTGGGTGTGTGTTATCTGGATTCAGTTCATTTGTGTCAGTCTGGCATTCACATCTCCAACGTTGATGAGGTCATTCTCAAAGCTGTGGACATTTCCTTCTTTATATAGGATGGAAAGTGAAATATTCCGAAGTCCATGAATATCAAATTTTTCTTCCTAGCTGTACCATTGTTCATTTCTTCTTCTTTTGGAAAGACTTAAGAATCGTATGATATAGATAATATTACACTGCCCATTCAGTCAGGCTCCCCTTTCATTTTCTTCACAGGTTGCTTGCGGTCCTGAACCTGACCTGTGTGTGATTTTGGCATCGAACCCCTGCCATAGTTTCCCCACCATAACAGTTAGATATCGTTTCCTGGTGCAAAGCATCCTGAGATCCATGGATGGAGAATAGTTTTGCTGTAAATTTTTTTATGTCAGCATGGGAAAAATATTGGTTAGCTATAGTATGGCTACTGCATGTCAGTCCTAAAAGTGTTTCCTCAAAACTTAAGATACTTGGGTATCTTAGTTAAGATATTGTGTGATTTAATGAGCTGGTTCTTTTACTTACCTGTACATTGGGCTTCACAAATTACACTCTGATAATGTCAGTCTTAATCCAACCCTGTCCATACACTTTGCCTTGGGGACTGATTTTGTGCCTGCTGCCAGGAAAAAGTTGTCTCCTTGTTTATGAACCAGGCAGATTTTCTAAACCTATGGTGGTGTTAATCTTCTCAGCCTGTATAGTTTGCTTATTTTCCATCAGTGAATTTCATGTTGCTTAGTCAGATTACTGCAAAGACTACTAAAAAGGAGGTAAAGAAAAGCACGACGACATCACTTCAGGAGCTACCCAACTTTCCAACCATGCCTTACAAGTAAGCGTTAAAAGAACAGGCTTGTAAGGTAGAAAGGTGGCCTGTGTTCAGTATGCCAGCAGGAGGCTAGTGAGTCGTATGCTGCTTCCCAGACTTTCTGTAAGACTCTGTGGGAGCTAAAAAGAAAGCAGGAGGAAGAGGAGCATGAACCTGAAAACTCTGATCAGCTCTAGCTCTGCTCTTAACACTTCTGTTCCCATAAAATAAGGTAATCTGACCCAAAAGCAGCCTAGGACTGCGGCATGAGTAATCTTTCTCTTCCATACCGTACTGTATAAGAAATTAAATTTGTTCTGATCACTGAGAATTACATCAAAATGAAGGAGTTGGTACGGATGGGAACGAGTAACATCCGCTGCTGCAACACTGTAGAAGAAAAAGACCAGGAAAAGGCAACCATCAACTTTATTCTTCAAATGCTTGGACTATAAGGTGCCTTTTGGTAAGAAGGTCTCCCTGAAACCTCTAGCATGTCCCAGGGTCCTGGAATCTGTGCCTGAAGAATGCTGCCTGATTCCTCTCTGGGAGCCACACCAAATTGCGTCTTGCAGTCGTACAGCACAGGCAGTTTCTTCTCATGCCACAGGCCCAGGTTGCTTCTACCTCACCGTAGGAGCCTACCTGTCTCCAGGCTTCCTCTCTCAGCAGGGAATAAGCAGTTGCAGACAGCGAGGAACACTTAGCATTGGGAATTGCCATTAGAGGTGTCGATTTCTCTGCAGCTGCTCTAGAGGGAGCCCGGGACAGCTACGGCTCCCTGTGCGGCTGGCTGCCGTGCTGAAAGTTATACAGGATTAATCCTGTCTGGCTCATTTCATTGTTTCCCTTAAATACATACAGTAATTCTCAGAAGCTCGGTCACTTATCACCAAAGTGTTCAGGGGACATTCATGGTGACAGAAGAAAGCAAATTAAAATACAAAGGAAAAGAAAGATTTTGATAACACGAAAATTATTGGGAGAGACTCAAGGGCAAGCACAATGCTTAAAATTTTACCTTCTTTATTTTAACAAGTTTGATTTTGACTGTCTATTGTTCCTTTAATTTGTAACATTTCATGATGTCCTCCTCAACTCAGCTATGTCTTTGTGTTTCCAAAGATATGAAATCATGAATTTTAAGAAAATGGGGAAGGACTACTTTGATTATATCAATGTTGGCAGCTGGGACAATGGTGAACTGAAAATGGACGATGATGAAATATGGTCAGAGAAAAATAATATCATCAGATCTGTGTGCAGTGAACCCTGCGAAAAAGGCCAGATAAAGGTAAGTATTTTCTCCATTTACATAAGTCATGTAGAATGCATAGCCTTGACATTTGAAAGCAAGTTTTTCTTGACTCTTACATGGAGACAGTATCCCACACCTTAATTAAAATGTACCGACTTACATATTTAGTTCTTACTCGTATCAGAGTCGTCTCACTATTTTCATAAGTTGCCATTTTCTTGTACTCCTATATCTGTGAATTGCTGACTTCTTTATACTTATGTTCCAAATGCTTTAGAACAGATATTGTTTGGTGGGGTTTTGCTGCATATTTTTACAGCATCTGATTCAGTGGAGTGCAAATCCCTGACTGGGACTTGTCAGTACAGCTGCAGGTAAATTATAAATAATAATTGCTACTATTTCAGTGCTAGACATAGACACCTAGACTGGAACATTATTACTCAGACTTTAAGTCTGTGGTACCATCAGAGAACATCACACTACTTAGAACTTCAGGAAATGTAGGTTACAATTTTTTTAATCATACCTACTTTATTGCTTCTTTCTTTCCCAGGTTTTTGATTTTTTCTTTCTCCCTTTCCATGTTGCAGTAAGTGCAGAGGGTAGATGAATCTGTCATATATTAATTGTAGTCTATTATCCTTCAGCATCCCATGACACTTACTGCAGAAGAGTGATAATACTGCAAGTCCTTAGCTTACCTTGCAGTCATTTATATAAAAGCCTGTGGACTGAGGGGATGGGCATGGACAACAGAGTGGCTCAGACTGGAAAAAGCAGCCGTAATTTCTGACATGCCTCACTGGAAGCTGGATCACTTTTCTCCTGTTAACATGGCATGCCTGCAAAGCTGTGAAGCAGCTACAGTGAGGGGCTGATGGGAGGCTGACCATGCTCTGCAACACAAAGTGAATCTCTTCAGTCAGAGTTTTCCAGAGTTTTAGGACACAGACACCATGTTTTATTCACTGATTGGTCTTTGGAAGAGTCAGTAAGTGAGTTTCATCAGACCAAATGTATATGTCTTCAGTGTAGGCATATACAGTTATATCAGATTTCTGAATTTTCTTTATAATCAATGGGAAAAAAGTTATTCCAGATTAGGAGTCATCTCATCCTCATGTAGGCTTTCAAAACAGTTAAGATGAATCTTGGTGTAGAAACACTTCTTTCTCTTCGCTGATAGCAAAAGGCACCCAGCCAGGACAGTTGGTTCAGATGAGAACATACCTTCTGCAGACGCATAAAGGAAGGTGGGATGAATTACTCCCACAGTAAATAAACAGAGGTCTGATGTTAGCATGCTCCAGCCATGGAGTCACATATGTGAGAGGATAGGATGGACAAACAGATACTAATTTCAGATCTGGGTGGCTCTGAGTTTCTTTATGATCTGTTGCCACAACACAGGTGATGGGTAGCATCGTGTGGTCTTCATTAACACAGCCTCCTTCCACCTTCTACCCATGCTCTCAAGGATTCTCACATGAGGATTCTTCACTCTGAAGCCTATTCATCACACACTTGACACATGCTTAAAATCCAGTGTCTGGAATGTTTTTTATGCTCCTCGTTAGGCTACTGATTACAAATCTCAAAGTTTACTTCCCGGTCCTTTATCTTCATGGTCTTCACAGATGATGGGGAGAGCTTGACCCTGCCAAGCTCTGTGGTGGTTTTCCTGCAGAATTCTGTGGGACTGAGTTATTATGGAGGAATTCAAAACATTCAGTGTAATGATATCCAACACTCAGAAACATATGGTACATCCATCTGAAGGACTTGATAAAATCCAAACACAATCCAACTCTACATATTTGAAATAGTGCAAACATATGATTACTTAAATCCATACACGTTCAAGGGATTGTCCAGATGACAAGGGGAAAGGAAAATAATTTTTGTTTTAAAGGGAATTGTTTTTTGCTAAAAAGGACAGAAAAGGTTACTTGACAGTTAAGTGCTACAATAAACAACTGTTCAAAAAATAAAAAATAAAAGGATGAAGAAATAGCTAAGCAATTTAATACAAAAAAGTCTGACTGATTCTGAGTAGTGAAGAACAATTATTTTGATTTCTAGAGAAGAAGGATACATAATCCTTCTCTGGATTAACCTCTAGTTAGTGCTAGGTAGGAAATGATCAGTCTACCAGTTTTGTGAAAGATTTGACAAATACCATGTATTTTATAGAAGATGCTGATTTTGTGAATTGTTCAACAGAAAACTGTAAATTAATTGTTTTGATAAAAAGTTTAGGTGTTTTGATAATAACGTATGGTTTGTATTTTGCCATTTCATTTTCCTGAGCATCTTATACATTGTAAAATTATGGATTTTTGTAATGTATCGTTTACCAAAATATGTGTCTAAAAATTAGTACAAGCTTTCTAAGAATTTATTTTCCCAGACACAAAAAAATTTGTCATTTGTTCAAATTTTCATTCTATTTCAAAATGAAAGAAATCCCAAGATGCAAATTCTTCTGGAGCACAGATACTCTGTTTTGCAAGTAGCTTTAATCTCAACACTTGCAGAACAAATTATTTTTGCTCCCATGGCCTTTCTGCCAGTTTAGCTATTCAGGTGTGGCTTTTTTCCTTTTCATACTCTATAATTTTAAAAACAAAACCAAAAATTGAAGTTTTCAAAGCCCCATACCGCTGATGAGAATGATGTAATTTATATTTTTTTTTTCTGCAGCATTGCAAATAGCAATCCAGTTCTTTTTGATTACACTCTTTTACATTTCATGTATTAAAATTGCAATGAAGTCATTTGGTTTTGAAGTCACCTTCTAAATTCATCAGTGCAAAAGATACATAAATCAACCTACTTCTTATGCTATAATTGGTAGTATTCATTTATAAATTCTTTGGTAAGAGCAGATAAACTGGTAATACTGTATTTCAAAAGGAAGACATATTGACAAGAAGCACAGATGTTTTCAATGCCCAGAGATGATAAATAAGGATCTTGAAAAATCTGCATCTCAATCATGAGCGTGCAGTAATATTTGGCAGTAAATTATAAAATGAGAAATCAGGTCAGATGTTAAAATGGATAAAGATAACATCCTCAGTCTTAAATGCTAATTACAAATGCAGTAATTAAATAATTCTGGAAAAGGCATGTTCAGTTTGAGATCTGGAAAAAATCAGTTTTAACAAATCACTCACAATCAGATGAAAAATAAGCACCCAAATATATTTGGGTAACGAACTCCTAAGGAAATAACGTTGTTGACATGATTCCCTGTATGGACCACAATGGAGTGAATTATATGCCTTGAGTACCACGCACTGGCTTCTGTAGGCACATTGCCATCTATGAAATTTAGAGGTTTACTATTTCTAAGAGAGGGAAAAACATCTTATTGTCATTCTATACCTCCATTTATACTTCTGTGGGGTTGACAGTTTCTTTCTTCTGGTATATATATATAATGGGAGAACTGAGAACTTGTGTCATATTGTGTATAAGCGAACACATCATGAAAAGGAACTCTCTAAAATAAAATTAAAAAAGAAACTCTAAAAAAAATATACTAAAAAATTAAATTAGTAACTGGGGCAGCATGAATGTACATTTATGCTTCTAAACCAAATGTCTGTTTTTGTCTCAGGTGATCCGTAAAGGAGAAGTGAGTTGTTGTTGGACCTGCACTCCTTGTAAAGAGAATGAGTATGTATTTGATGAATACACATGCAAAGCCTGCCAGCTCGGCTCTTGGCCCAACGACGACCTCACAGGTAAATGAGTTGTGGCAGTGCTTATGTTGTTAATGAAAATGTTAATCTGCTGAGTTGAAGAAATAAATGCCAGATACAAGTGAGTATGAGGACTGGTTTGGTCAGATCGAAGCCAGGGATAAAGCTGAAATTTGAACTGAGGCTGGTATTTGTCTCGTAACCTCAACCTGATCCAGGAATCATTGGTGTAATTCAGCTGCCTTCTAAAGACCCGAGTTACAACATCTAGAAATACAAAAGACAGTCCTGGTTTTGTGTTCAACCCTGTCCTAACACCTAGCTGGTGGTGCAGATCTTGTTCTTCCCCAAACAGGTAGAGAAATTCAGTCTTTGTCAGAGAAAATATTAAGGGACGTCAAATTTCAGTTATATTTTCCTCCCAAGCAGGTACAGAAGAGTCATGCAATACTTTCTTTTCTAATCTGAAAAAGTTATGAACTAGTTGTTGTAGTTACTGCTGCTAAATGCAAGAGAGCTCCAAACAGACTCGGGTTTGATTAGTCCTTTGTTCACCAGAGAGTCTGCTAGAATACAGGGTTCATGTTCTCCTTTTCATGGCGTAGGTCTCTATGCCCTTGTTGAACAGCAATTTGGCTACCTTAGAGATAAATTACTCCAACACTTGTATCCCCCAGAATCTCTTCTTTATGACTAATAAACAGAATTCAAGTATTCAAACGCTCAAAGCACACACCACTTCAAAACTGTTCAGGGATCAGGTTCTCATTGTGCCAGGCTCTGTATAGTCAAGGGGAGAAGAGACAGGTTTTTTCCAGAAGAGCTCACAGATTTGGTTTGCATATAATTTCTATGGATGAGGGGATAAATTTTTGAGGTGAAAGAGAGGGAAGGCAAAGGGAAAAACAGTTTGCTGGATGATTTTACACAAGTGGAAGAGTGTCAGGCAGTTTATAGGCTTGGCCTATAAATAGATATTTATATACAAGTTAATCCTTTCCTGGTAAGGAATGTTGCATTGCTGTAATAAATGAGCTATGTTAGATAACTGCTGCAAAAGTATCATTTAGCCATAAAACTGATGGGGTATTTTTCAGAAAATGTCAAACATGAAACTTTCCCTGAGAAAACAAACAAACAAACAAAAAAACAACTTTTAACTGAGAAAACTGAAACAGCAATAAAATAGAATTGCAATTGTTCCTCCAGCCCCACTCCCCCAGCCCTGCTTCCCTGCTTCAGCAATCAGCCAGCAAAGCCTTCTCATCTCAGGGAAAGCTTTGTTGTCCCAGGAGAATGGAGAAGGGGAGCAAAAGAGACCCATCCCCACGTTTGCCCCAGAGCAGAGTACTGAGGGCATGATATAAGCTCAGGTTCACATCCCAGCTGGGTCATCCAGAAGCCTCCAAAGCCCACGTTGCACAAACCAGGCCACTGCACCAGGCAAACCAGGTCAAACAGTGCAAATGGTCAACTCTTCAACCATGCCTCGGTCTTGTCTGAGAAGTGGCAGATCTCAGCTCATGTCTCTGATGCAGTCAGCATTTGAGGTCTTACCCAACGTAGAACAAGTGGACAAGTTGCTGCTATGAGTCAGTTAGGAGGGAACTTACTCCAAGTGCCTCACTGGACCAACAGAGGACCCACTTCTGGAACACCACTGATGGGAACTGCCCATTGACCTAGTGAAGTTTGGGTAATTAGCCTGTAAGCACAAGGCAAAGTGGAGCTAACAGCCACCAGGTTGGCCTTCAGCCTTTGTGCTTTGAGCTGGCTCCCCAGGGCACGAAAATCTCCATGCCTCAGGCAAGGCATCAGTCTGGGCTTGTGGGAGGATTTACCCTCTGAAGGTCTTTGCCCTCAGGATAGAAAAGCAGGATGGGGTGGCACCTCGAAAGCTCTTGTACGATGAGTCAATGATTTTCCACCCAGCTCTGATTGTTTTAAAGGAAAGTAGTTGTCTTTTTAGTCAAGCCAACTGCTTTGTGTATTACATGAGCTGCTATATTTTGCAAATCATTCACCTGGCTTTAGACATGCATTTTATGCCTTTATAGGGACCAAAGTCAATATGCACGCAAAACAACCCCTTGACATCAGTGCCAGGCAACCTTCCTCAGGAGATCTAACCTTGTTCCTCAGCCAGGCACAAATTCAGCAG